GACATTGAGAGACAACACAACCTTTGAGAGAGAGCAGGATCCAGTACTGACACAGGACCGATGCAGCACAGGTGAACGCTGGAGGACATGTCTTCCACGTGGCATTTGGGCCGTCCTGGTCCACGTGGGGGGAAGAGCTCATGACAGAGCATCATCTGGTTTGTTTGCGAGCCCCGTTGACAACTGCTACTTTGACCTTCAAGCATTTGGTTAAATGTCTGCTAAACTACTCCTAACTGCTTCTCTGTCACGCTGGATTATTTAGGGGTATTCTTACAATGTCACGTCGGGCTCTTATCAAATAAGGCCACCACCCTTGAAACTGGGAAAAAGGAAGCTGGAGGAATACCGAGCAGCACATAACATACATGTGCTGTATGGAGACTGGGCTCCATGCAATTCCCACAACGGAGAACGCAGCGGTCACATTGTAGGAGGTAACCATGGCGATCAATATGCCTGGATTGTGAAAAAAAAAAAAATGCGAGGAAGGGGGTGGTGTGAAGAAAAGAATAATAGACTATCTGTAAGTGTCAAAGGAAGAAGCCTGGGGGACGTTATGAAAGAGCCGATTCCTTGTTGGCTGGCAAAGGTCGCTGTGCACTGATGCAGGACACGGGACACGGACCCTGATACCAGATCCCAGGAAACACTTCAGTTTGAAACACAATTATACAAATGGACAAAAAGCATAAAATAAATTGTGTTTAGAGACATTCTTGGTTGACTAACCTGACTGTTTAGTCTCACCGGACTGACTGACAATCAGACTCACACAGACACTTATTCTGATTGTTAAAGTCAAACCGAATTCTCAGTTAGTCATTTTCTGGCCAGTGCTGAGTGGTAATTTAGATGTATTTAAGATTTAACTATAAATTGTTAGTTCTTTTGGTCATGTTGGTTGATTATAATATGATGGATTACAATGAAATGTAAAACATACATACGTGGTCCAGACAGGATAAATCCGAAATCAAATGGCACAAATATTCCCCTCGGGAAGAATTTTTGTTATTTTGTTGATCTCTTAACTAAAGAATACAATTAAACTGAATTTGAAATATTTGAAGAAGCAGAAGCAGGATAAACATATACTTGTTTTTATTATTTTACAAATGGAAGAAATATATCATTTTAGGAGGGTAAGTGTTGTGCTAGTGGGTTGTCGTATGAACAGTGTGAATATAATGGCAGCTAAACATCAGCAAGGTAACATTTCACAGGGCCGTGCATCTAATGATCATTAGATCGTAGAGTTCTTTTAGATCTTCTAAAATAGTGAGGAGATATTAAGTGTAACGTCGAACATCAGGCATCTGCTATGAAGCTGGGGGGGTTAGGGAGGGATGTTGGGCGCTGTGCTATAGCCTTGTTCGCTCCGTCCTCCGTCCCTCCCTCCTTCCTTCATCTCCTCCTTCCTTCATCTCTTCCACACTGAGTGCCGCTGACAGACACTGTACAGATCGAAGCAGCAGGCCTGCTCACCCTGCAAGAGGTCTGCGCCCAAACGCAAACAGAGACACCGCAACCGGCAGAGGACGTACAGAGAAGCCTGCAGGGGAGGAGCAACCAGCCACACGGGGGCCAACAAGGCTCGGTGCTTAACTTGTTTTAGTGCCTTTTTTCCTCTCCATCGGGGGGGAGAAACTGATGAATCCACAAGACAGCTCTTACAAAATAAAATAAACTACAGCTGAGCTTTGACTTATTGCAGCATCAGCTCTTCAAGGCTTTAATGTGATGGGTTTGTTTTACTAGTGTACATTATCATACAATAATTGAATGTCATACTCAACTGTAAAATTTGAAATTGAGTGCCAACTGCAATGAGAAGGCATGCAGGATTATGGATTTCTATGACAATGGCAGTCCCAAAAACTAAATGCTCTCCATTTGCAGAAATGTGAAGAGTACAATGAAAGGTTCACTTTTTAGATTGTATTTTCACACGGGGACACACTTTTCATAAATAAATTGCTGCAACAGTTGTATTTTATTTGCAGGTGAAAAGCCCTCCGATCTAATTACTGGCTAATTGTATCATTTATTTTTGTGATGGGAATCCTTTGTGTGTCTCGTCCTGTCTCTCCATCCCCCACGGCGGCGCTCTGCTAACAGCCACAGAGACCCGGCGCCCGTCTCTGCACTGTTGCCTAGGCAACTTTGGCAGACTGACTGTAATGTGCGTTATGTCCACCTCTTGGTTTCTCTAAGCAACTATAACCGCAGTCCTCTGCTGCTGACCACTGAAGATTTGCCCATCAAATTTGGGAACAAAGCGTGTTGCTCGAGGGCACTTTGGTGGGAAAGGACGGGATCAGACTGAAACCCGTCAACCCGCAACAATAAAGAAAAGATCTGATCAGATTATAATAGTTATTTTAGGCTCCTGCCTTCCCAAAACTGTGTTTATAACCGTAGATACTGATTCTTTAAATCCTATATCTATATCTATATATATATATATATATATATATATATATATATATAGATATAGATCATCTATGTATAAATCCTGATATATATATGTAATATATTATTTTCATAGCCACTAAATATTGAGCAGCATTGCAGTGGATAAAACAAGGCTTTAAGTAAACAAGATCGTAAACTAGCCCAAGTATTGATAGACTCAAGCATCCCCTCACACATAACTGACATGTTTAATAGCCAGCCATCCTCTCACCAAACTCATTATCGGGTTTGGGACAAAACCAAGTCAATATTGTGCAGTGCAGTATCACAGAAACATGTTGACTCATCTCCAAACACCACATCCAGTCATGGGAGAGTATTCAGCTTTCTTTGTTCCCGTCAAAAAATAAAATTATGAGCACTTCTGATATTCTTATTTCAACCTGGGTACGGAACTATGAGCAATCTGCATTAAAACCAAACTTGCATGAGTGAGTCACATTTATTAAATATAATAAAGACAGAAGTACTCACACAAACAAAAACAGCACATTTCACACACTTTGTCCTGAGAGGTGCTACAGGAGAGGCTCGGCAGGTTTAGGTTCCTCGACTATATGATCTGATCGCTGTATCTGGGAAGTTGACTGTGGTGACACCACAGCAATCAGATGCTGTATGTGATTCATACACTACTTGGAAGTAAGATAATAATCCACACTGATCCTGCAGTCAGGAAGTTTTTTTTTAGACTTTTACTGCTCCTCCAACACCTTCGGGGCGTGAAGCTATTCAGAGATGAAGGAGCACATCAGAGGCACTAGTGTGAAGAACAAGTCAAGGTCAGTCTCCTGACATGAAGAGCTATAGGTGGGGCCCTATGACATCAGCACCATATGGTCATCAAAGTCATTTCATATGAGTTGTTGAAAATTATATTCATCTGCCACATTATTGGACGTTTTTTTACACTAATTAGAAAGATGTCATCGGAAAAAAATGTTTAAAAAGCACATCTAAATTGTTGCTCTAAGTGCTTTCAAATTGTTATAATAAATTTGCTTCTGAGCATTCTCTGTGAACTCTCTCCAGCCATTTGTTGTGTACTCCGGTGTATTTTCACGGTTGTTGTGAATTGTGACCTCATTTGTATCGATCAAACGCAGCGAACGTGAACTAAAGACAAAAACTGCTTCAATTCCCAAACACAGCTTTGGCTTTTATCTACTTTGCTTCATGCACACCTGACGTTATCCATTTGTCTAACTTATCATGACAAATTATGATTCAGTGAACATTATTAGTGATCCAATTTAGGTTCAATGTGATTTTGTAATTCTATAGATGTTCCAGTAAGATGAACCCGTGCGTTATTAAGGAGAGGAGATCATTTAGTGCACCAGCGAATGATGAATGTCACAATGTTTTAACCATGCCAATCTAATCAGCCCTTTAACTTTGATAAATATTGTTATTGTGCAGATTTGTATTATTCCATTAGCCGTTGTACCAAGTCCGCCAAATGTAAGAGCGTGAAGAGTCACGCCGTTGCTAATTCTGGTTTGGTTCAAGGATCAAACATCTTTGTTTTCTTCTGCTCAAACTTGTTTTAGATGAAATTGTTAATTGGTTATTGGTTTTAAGTGTAAGGTTAGCAGTGTTGTGCTTGTTTTAGGTGTCACAGCCAATAATAACTCGTGTTAATGTATTTTTCCTACAGCCCATATTCTGCTGTGGAGGGACAGACAACTGGTGTTAGAACCATTTTCACATCTCACATTCAAAAACAGTGTAATAGAGCCTAGTTGGCGCTTGAGGCTAAGCTAATTCTCTGAAAGCACAACATTAAATAAATTGTTCAACATTTTGGGGAGTACGAGATTGAAATTGGACAATGGATTCTCGCCTTATGTCTGTGCACTGAATGTGGAGCCACAGCCAGCAGGCGATTAGCTTAATTTAGCATAGAGTGGAAACAGCTAAAGCCTCTCTCCAAAGCAAAAAAAATATCCTCTCCCTGCACCTCCAAACCTTACTAATTGAATTGAGATGTTGTCTTTGGATGCCGTAGTTGAGCCAGCTGCTCCTGTTTCTGTGGATGTTGAATGCACTTATTGTAAGTCACTGTGGATAAAAGCATCAGCTAAATGAGACGTAATGTATCGTACGTAGTGCTTCCGGTCCTCGAGCTATGGGAGGCTAATGGCCTGCCGACTCCAGCTTCGTGTTTAATGTATATACGTGTGGTATCAATCTCCTCAGCTTATTCTAACAGTCCAATAGGCCGAATCATTTTCTCTGCCTGTGATTCTGAATCAGAGCTGCTTGTTTACCACAAACATATGTACTGTATAACATCGTGACCGTTTCCGTGGTTCTTAAGTGATTAAGTGCTGTGCTGACAGCAGTGTTTCCAGTCAGCAGTGATGCAAGTTTGATTTATTGAAACTAGTGATTCAGTGAGTTCTGCTCGGGTTCGGGGTTCGGTGTTAGAAAGCAGTCGCTTCACAACGCTAACGAACATAGCTGCCATCGACACGGACACCCCAATCAGCCTCTCTGTATCGGGCAGCGGCGCTCACCTATGTAGAGCGAGGAGTCCTTCCTGTGGACGTGGTCATCGATGTAGGCCACTCCCAGAGGCTGGACGGGCGTGGCTCCGATGCCCAGCAGAACCTGGGCTCCGATCAGCAGCAGGTACATCATGTTGGTGTTGGCTCTGTTGCCACATTTGAACCCGGAGTCCCGGTTCTCTGACCTGGAGTTGTTGGAGCAGATGTCCCTGCCGTCCTCGGCGTGCCACGAGTCCCCGGCTTCGTACTCGTACTGGTGAGTCAGGAACTCGGGCAGGGCCGACAGCAGCGCTCCGAGCGCCATGACGATCCCGCCGCACCCAATCAGGCGGGGTCTGTGGGCCTTGGCGCCAAAGTAGCTGACAAACAAGATGAGGGCCAGGTTGCCGATCTCGAAACTGCTGGCGATGACGCCCACATCTGCACTCTGGAGGTTGAAGCGTCTCTCTAGAGTGGTCAGAACACTTACCTGGCAGAGGGACAGAGAGGAAACAAGTGTTAAAAACTATAAAAACAGCCTCCTGAAAGCAGTTTTATCAGCAATTAATAGTGTTGTTTCTAGTCATTTTGTCTTACAAAAACATTAAAGTGATGCATTGAGCTTCAGGTGCTTTTCACTAAACGCCGGCCATCTGCCGCTCGAACCAGCAACGTGTTTATGACACAAAGCTGCTTCTGGAGTGCTTCACACATCCCCAAGCTTTTCCTTCTTCTTCCTCCCCCCAAAACAACCCGAGGCGGGCAGCCTGATGCCGACCTGAGGAAAATAGATGCATGCACGTGTGTGTGCCTTTAGGCAAGAAGGCCTCACGCAGCTGTTGTAATAATGAAACGGACGCCGTCGTGCCAGCTGTTTGCTGGGTACGCAAGTAATGAAGTGGCTTCTTAAATCAAATTTACACCGGATCAGCTCCAGAACTGGCGGTAAAAGGTTGGTCAGGAGTTGTTTAAAACCTGTATTCATCATTCATCTACAAGCAGAATGTACGCTGTGACCTCTTGCTGCAGGTCCATTCATTTTTCTAGTCTGTTGCTTATTGTGTTTCTCCTGTAAGACCAAACTGCATTACAAAATCAAACAATTTACTCGAGAAGGCTGCAACAAGCGATTATTTATATCATCCATTAGCAATGTGTCAATTAACTAAATGGTTTCTTCTATAAAATGTCAGAAAATTGAAACAAGTGCCTGTCACAAGTTCCTGAAGCCAAAGATGACAACTTTAATGTTCTTTTTTTCCTATTAACAGAGCAGAACCAGCCCAACATTTAAGAGGTTGGAACTCTTAGTGCTTGAAATACGACCTGCGCAATTGATCAACCGGATAACAAATCAGATTCGGATTGAGATCCTTTAACCGTTTGTTAACACTGATGACTCATTTAAGTGTGAAAATGCAGTTTGGCAACAGAAGTATGCCAGAGTGCAATAGCTTGTGACGCCACGCAAGGGCAATAACCACCAAAGAGGGCAAAAAGAAGCTGAAGAAGATCTCAGACCTTTGGGACATTGGTGAATGTGTCAGACGTTCCCACGGGCAACCACGGACGCATTCCACCGAAAGTCACCAGCCAACACGGCCTTTTGTTAAACTGCAACAGCAGTCCCCCTGACGAGGATGGATCCCGACGGAAAGAGCTTGAGTACACTGATGAAAACGCAACGTGCAACAGACGTTTAGAAACCGTCTTAGTCTTTAACGCCGGCTACTTTGTCTGGATGGCCGCGACAAAACGCCGCCTCCTTTGACAACATTCACAGCCGTATTTCTTCTTTGACACTGGCTGAACAAGGGTGTGTATGTTGTGGTCCTTAGTCTTTTTCTTTGTCTTGTAAAGGAATAACAATGCTGTACTGGGTCTGATCGCATGCATGTGTGGGACAAGACAGTGCGACTTCAGCGTTGACTGAACATTCACTCTGACCCTTCTGTTCACTTATAATTATGACAAAGCTTTCGTTCACATTTCCCCGGTGTTATAAGCTGAGAGGACACAGTTCAAAGGTCACCAGGGCTAAACGACAGGGTTATGATTTACTATCGCGGTGCTTAAAGATTTATGTGTGAAGCTGTTATGTATGATGGCTGCTGCTGAACGGCCCCTTTACACCTTTTAGATTTACAGTTTGAGGCCGATGCACTCGGATGTTTGCAGACAATATACAAACTGTTGCAGAGCTTTAGACTAAAGTTATTGTTATTTAATCGCAAAAACAAGAGAGAATGTGCGACCGGAAAAAAACAATATATGGCAGTGTTGAAAAAAAGACAGGGCATGAAAAATGATGACAAACTCTATATTTTATACAGAGATGGATAGTTAGTGCTTCCACAGTGCTTCTGTCTGCAGCGGGATTTGCTAAAGGTGCACTTTAGGGTTTAGGATGCTGGTTCAGAGGAGAAAGATCCACTGTCTTCAAGGTAAACACTTATGCACTTTATATTTGGGATACTGCAAAATACATTAGAACCAGCTCAGTCGTGTTCCTGCCAAGCTGCAGTCTCAAACTAAAATCCTGGAAGCAGGCAAGTTGCCCCTTGTTCCAAACAATGCTTCCCTTTAGAGATTCCCACGAGATGTGACCATGCAGTTTGATACAATGTAGTCCTTTTTATATCTGTGCATACAGAAGCTGCACAAATATAAAAGTAAGATGTGATGAGATTCAAGTAAGTAACATTTGACCTTGGCTCTTTTTAAATTGCTTTCCTAAATTGCGCTATTATGACTCTTTATGAAGAAGGTGGCCTCTTTATCAAGTGGTCTGTCCCTCGTGAAGAATAAAACGAAGCCCCAGCCTGCATGTGCTATTATTTATAGTTTAAAGGCTGCATGGGCTGATACCGGTCAGGTGCTTTAGGCTAAAAATAGAGGCATCTTTCATGTTTATACAGATTTACAGTTGTTGGTCCATCTCTTAGTAATGAAGACATAGACATAACAGATACATTAAAGAGACTAGGCTGGTTGGCTTTGGCCACACAGGCTGAATAACGCATTACTTGCATATCACCATGCTGTTGGAATATGTTTGGTGTTAGAGATCCTTCAATTCCCCCCAGCATCAAGCAATTGGCATGAAATACATAAACAACAAACAAAACGTTTTTATTTCCTCTCGGCTCCTAATCTCATTCCACCCAGTTCATGTATTGAACCTTATCTCTTATGTTGACATCAAAATATATCAATGCATAAATGAAACCGTCCCGTGATGATGCAGGGTAAATACAATAGGGGCTATTGTTACTTCTGTTGTGGTGATCACGTCATCTGCTGGGCCTGTCTCCTCCAGTGTCAAAGGCCTCCTGCACTGCTGAGGCACACGGTGCAGGATGCAGCAGAGCCGTCAGGGTGGATGGACCTCCTGGCCGGCGTTTCGTAACCTGCTCTCCAGCAGACCCTCCACATACGCATATATATTTAAATATATAAAAAATCTCCAGCAACAACGTGGAGCCCACGGCGGCTGTGACGCGCGTTGTGACATGCAGATGGTGCATAGGCCTGATGGATAATACGCAGCAAGTCATCAATCAGTGAGAGCCGCCCGAGCGTGTGATCATTCTTATGACATCGGAATAATATAATTATTAACCGCATCGGCGGCCGCGGCACCGCCCGCCGTGTGCCGGCGCGAAGGGCGCCGCGTTAACCCGATGATACCCGAGATGCACCGAGATGCGACGTTGCCGCCGGACCAGCGTTGTGTCCGCGGCGGCGGTTCTGTGGGTGGTGCGGGGAGGGGGAGGAGGGTCGGGGGGGGGGAGCAAAACTCACCAAATATGCACCCACGGTGCCCTGTGCCAACATGAGCGCGCATTCCGACACCAGGAAGATCTTGATGTTGGAAAAACACGAGGTCTTCTTCTGGCTGTCATCCTGCTCCGGGTCGTCGGTGCTGCTCCGCTCGGTGCAGATCTGGTTTTTCACCTGCATCCTTCGGCTCAGGCTCCGGTCGGGTTGGTGAACGGGTCCGGTCCGGCGGAGAGCATCTGGTTGTGCTGACGAGCTGCACTGCAGAACGAGTCGGAAGTGTCCCGTCAATAGCCCGTCTGGGCTGGAGTGCACGGAGAGGAATACTGCTGTCCACTCAGCATTACGCACCGTCCGTCAGCGACCTCCTCGCCGCCTGTCCAGCCAGCGCGTCTCGGCCACCTCACGTTTAAATACGTAGGCTACGCGTGCACGTGTGCGACGGCTTCAGATGCCCGACGTAGAACTACAGGACGCCCCTTTCCTGCATCCGGGTTGTTGCCGGGACCGCTGCACCGACTGGATTTGGGGGTTTGGTTCCTGAACCGCAGCTCTGCGTCCTTGAACATCGGCGTAATGCTGCTCCTCCTCTGCCTCCTCCCATCAATAGACCGAAATACGACGAGGGAGGTGTGATCTCTGCGTCCCCGGTCCTCCCCCTCTCCATCCACGCGTTTCCCCGCATCATCATTTTACCTGTGCGGGCTGTCAGCTTAATCATCGCCCCCCAAAGATTTCATCAGGACGGACTCTCCAAAAGCACACAGGCACAGCTATTATCTGATCTTAGATCAGGCTGCTTTGCAGATAAACGAATACAAGTCACTTGACCAGAACTGTATTTATGTAGAGAATTCAATATTGCTATCAACTGCTAATTTATTTGTACTATAAAATAGAAAGATGGCAATCCAAACCTGGATCATGATATCTTTAGAAGTAAGACGGCATGATAGTAGAGGGACAATTCAGTGACCGAGTGGATTAATGAGAAAAGTCAGGCAGGTGGATGGTACTACACTTCTAAAAAGAGCATGAGCCCACAGTCAGTAATTGGAGTTCCCCCCTCAGTAGATCAAGTGTTATGATGAAGTATAGGCTCAATGAGAAAGAACCATTAACCCATTTCTGCAAAGTGGTCCATGGGTCCTCAAACTGGAGTCAACCTGTTGCCGGCTGAATCCTTCAAAGTCCTCCGGCGCTCTATTCAGATATTTCAATAAAAGATTTGCAATTATAACAATGAATACTGAAAAAAGTGAAAAAAAAGGTTATGAAATATTTCACTTGTCAATCAGAGGGTCTTACACCATTGCAATTTGCACAATGCCCCCAGTGCACGTCATGTTATGGTGGTTTTAGTTTACTTTAATCTTCCTATTTTCATGCATGGCTGGATTGTGCGCAGCCGGCTTCAAGATGGTTAAAAATTCAAGGCACACAAGTACTCTATTACACACATCAGCAGGCCAATGTATTGTACTGCTATAGTTGCTGTTCTACACGAGAACATTCAAGGTGAACACACAGTGTTGTCATTGGACAAATGCTCAGGGACCATTATAATCTACAGCATGAGCCTCTCTATATTTTGACACTTACGAGCCTCCTTCCTAGAGGGGACAAGTCTTGAGATGCTGCTTTACAGTTTGTTCTACTTTATTAATGGAATGAACTATGAACACAAGCCTTTTTAAAACAAATAAACACATCTAAGGGTTTGTAACAGTGATCAGAATGATGGAGTTAATCTAACCTGAAGTTGGTCAAACAAAAATGGCAGCACAGTGAGGAAATATAATAATGATAAAAACAAAAAAAAGGTTCAAAATCTTTCGGCATAACCTAAGAAATAAGACAAAGGAGAGAGTGCAGATGTCCTTCAGCCCACATCTTTTAACCTACAGTATTCCTCAGACCATTCAGATGCTCCATCAGGACCAATTCAATAGCATCTGCAGCAGCACCATCTATCAGGCAAACTGTGGACTCAGCAGGGGGAGCGTCCATTTCTCATGGAGTCACTCAGAGTACCCGGGGTGATTTAAGATCAACACGGTGGGCCTGCTGGTGCAGTGCAAGCCAACTGAAGACATTATTTCAGGATGCCTCTTAATCACCAGGCCCACAGAGAGAGGAGTGCATTCATGCGCTTACCCTGTAACAAACAAACACATTAAACAAACACAAAGGCTTGTGATGTTTTTATTTCATGATACAACTTTTGCCGTTTTTTTGCTCTCAGAAACTAATGTTTTAGAAATAAATGTTAATATTGTCAGTCTTTTCTGTGACTGTTTAAAAAATGGTCCTCTAAAAATTGTTTAAACGTCTGGACATTTATTGAAACAATCAATTCAATTACACCCGGGTGTTAAAGCGATATTATCTATCCAATACTAATAGCGCGGCAAGCAATTCTTGGGGGGGATTAGCAAATTTCACATCTGCACTAAATGCTGGAATGTGAAAAATGTTTGTGCTGCTTGAAATGCATTTGCATTTTAAGCAGAATGAATCTCTGAGCTGCAGAACACGGTGCAGAGATGCGTTGTGTGTCTGCCGGTCATGTCGGGGACGCGGTGGCTTGAGGTACTGTCGACCTCACTGGACATTTTAATCAGGAAAAGCATTGTTAGAATGATTTGCATGAGTTATGGCGGAGTCTAGGTATTGATTTTCAATAGAAGCAGTGGGCTGTAAAACAATAACATCTGCGCCTAAAAGCTTTGTTTTTAAATAGCGTCCATGCAATCAATTATTACAGTATCACACACTATACCCAGGACCGGTAATTTGGATTAACCCTCAGATTATCAGACACGGGGCCTGATGTTTATGTGGCGTATTAAAACAAAACTACTTAAGCCACAACTATTTTTTATCTCATAATCCGGCAATTTTCTCCATTAGACGTCCCAAAATCCCAATTTTACCAAAGCCGAAAATGATGTCTTTAATTTGTGGACCAATTAAAAAAAACAGACCCCCCAAGGAAACAAAAAACTCTGTGTTTCTAAGTGTGTAAACGACTGTAAAGTAACAGGAACACCAACATAACAGACATCTGAAGAGCTCTTCCTTTTTAGCTCCACAATGAAACAGGTGTTCAGCTCCTGTAGCCCAGTGGGGGTGTGATGTATGCGGGTGGGTGGGGGGGTGTAGGTGGGGGGCTTCATCTGCTGTTTTAACCCGAGTGACGGATAATACCGGCCTTAACGACGGCCTCTACAGAATGCCGCGTGCTGTTTCCATCAGGACCAATTCAATAGAATCCGATGAGTGTTTGCTGACATGAGGTTTTCTTTGGCAGCCTGGATGAACTGTGGGGTTGGAACAGATCTGCTTCACCCTTTACAGCCAGCGAGAGGCAGCCAGTGCATGTTCATGTGTACGAGCGTACGAGCCGGACCAATTAACAATGTGCAAATGCAACACAGTTTGCACTTTAGAAAGACGCACTGGCTTTCTTGTTGTTATTGCCGTGTCTCTAGATGTGATAAGTGCCCTTAATTGTAAACACTGGTGCAGACCTTTAACCGTTAACCTTCTATAAACTGTTCTGTAGCGCCCCCCGGAGGTCATTGGAGTTACTTGCAGGAAGGATTCAGTTCATCTATTGATCCGTAGGCTGAAGCCGCTTATCGGTGAGATAGGCAAGGCTCACTCAGGCTACTCTGGTCAGCTCATGCGTCAAACACCCAACTTATTATTTTTAAGTTATCATTTACCTACTGAAAGATATTCCATCTCAAATGGATAAAATGTAAACGTATGGACGGTAGGCATTGAGCGAGCAAACGGCCCCTTACAACAAGCCTCCTAAAACACACCTATAAAAAATAATCATTTAAAAAAAGAAATCAATGAATCAATGCTACTTGTGTAGGAGCGATTCCCGGTGACCAGGCTTCTAATACACTGGTAATCAGGTTTAGTGTTGTCGTTGGCAGTCATGCCATGTCATGGGTACAAAAAGGCTGGGATATTTCTAAATAGCCTGATTGCTAACTGGTACAAGTGTTATTCACAGAGGACGTGATGACATGTCACAATATGTGTAAGTAACACAATGAAAAACGGTTGGATTAAACTTGGCTGCTACTCAACGTTCACACTGCCATGGATGACTGTGACATTCAAATAGAACAAAGGCTTGTTCTTTTCCTACATTAACAAGTTAGAATGCCATCTGCGTGAAAGCACTATTGTATTTGACAGTGACGGGTGGAATATGACATTAAAGTACTCAAGTCCTTTGTCGGTGGTACAATATGAGAACGTTGTGCCACTAGATGCCAGCAAAGCCCCAAATAATGATTCTACTCCGTCACGGTGTCTCATCGCTTTACTCCACCAAACTTCTCCTGTCTGCATTGTATTCATGCATGCATGGGCCTGCACAGACTTCACTGTCTCTGTTTGTCTCTTGGGCGTATGCTATTGCCAACCACTGCTTTGACAAACCATCATTGAATGAGTGCTGGTTGGTGTAGAATGGCGTTTGGTGGCACCAAGAGGACAGATCTGTGCGTGAGAGGAGGTCTCCACAGCATCAGATGACGGGTTGGTCTCAGCACATGACAAGAGGAAGAGTGAAGGGTGCTGTTCTCAGCGGCATTGACAAGATCAACCTGCAAAACACACAGATTGACGGTTTGTGTAAACTGAAACCTTCCGAACTCGAACGACTAGAAATCATGATGAAAGTCTTCATGGTTTCACGTTAACCACACAGGGTCCTGCCCCATATATTCGGAGCTCTTTATTCATGGAAATTACCTAACAAAATGAAAATAACATAATGACTTTCGGGTATCCATAAAGGAAAATCTATACTTTTTAACACCGTCAGCAGCAGAATTAAAAGACCTGCTACTTAAAAGAAATTATTTCTGCATCACGGTCGTACTGTCAGTGGGAATAGGAAGAGTTCAATAGGAAAATGGCATAAATAAAAACACCTCGCCACAGCAAGGCGATCTATGTCTGCAGCAAACAGGGGGTCAACTTCAAGTCTCCATCAGAGGGATGGAGCAAAGAACCCGAGCACCAACAGGGGATGTTGAGCTGTCAGGAATAATAAGGGAGTTTGTTCTCCTGGATACTGATTTGCATAAACCTGGTTGTGAAGAACTATTCATCTGTCACTGCCAATATCAGGACACACGCGCTGTCTTCCA